AAGGGCTTTTAAAAAATTGTCAAAGTTTCAAAATTACGGAAAAAAAAATGTATGTGACTGCTCTTTAAACCCTTTCAAATTTGATCTTTTCATGTTTGGGAGAGACATCGGCGGCAGTGCTTCCCACGCTTCAGATTGGTTAACCCCTATCAAAAGGCGAACCTTATTTGCAGAAGTCAAACTATTATGAACAAATAAATCACGAAAAACCTTTTAAATTAAGGGATGAAATTCATAGAAATTGTACTCATCACTCCCGGGTCACTTTCATTTGAAAGATTGTGCAATCGCTCCAAATGTGTGTCGAGATCTCCAAATGTATGTCGCTCCAAACCTTATTCGCAGAAGTCAAACTATTATGAACAAATAAATCACGAAAACCTTTTAAATTAAGGGACGAAATTCATAGAGATTGTACTCAATACTCTCGGACAACTTTCACGTGGAAGATTGGGCAATCACTCCAAATGTATGTCGAGATCTCTTTTAACTGGTGTTACCATCTAAATTGAGTGGAAAATTTGGCAACAAGGCCCGCCACCTGAATTTGCATAGGAATCTTGATCGAAGTCAAGATTCTATAAAGAAAAGCAAGAGAGAACACAAGAAAATCAATAACCTAAAGTTTGACATCCCAAGTCCCACGTTTGTGCATTAAGGGATGATGAAAAGAACACGTGAAAAGAGAGAATAAAGAATGATTTTAAAAGGGGAGAAAGTAAAAATAACAATGACTCTTTTTCCATAACATGACGGAGCTTTTATGCATCGAGAAATTTCCTCCCGATTGTAAAAGAACATGGGAAGAAGACAACCCCTTTTCCACGAAAAGAAACGCCGGTGAATAATTTCTCTAGAAAAATTACTTAAAAAAGTCTTAAACATATTGCGATTGTGACAATTCAATCATAAATCATTTTTTTTTTACAATCGAGTTCTAAACTTTTTGCATCCGTGCTAATTCGGTCAATCCAATCAATTTTGGCCGGAAATCGCTGACACGAATACCAGGTGGTTTGACCAAAAAAAAAAAAAAAAGAATGTTGGGCGGCATTCGTCACCCGGCTGGCGCTAATGGTGGCGTTTCACCTCCGGCAGCAATGAAAATCCTGAAGGAGGAGGAGGTCCGGCGGAGCATTTGTGTTAGAATCCACGAATAATCTCTTCATCATCATCCGTAACTGCCGCTCTCCTTCTTGGCATTGTTCCCCATCTTTCTTTCCGCTTCTTTTTCCAAATTGCCCCCCAAATACACCCGATGAGATTCAATCAATTTCCGCCGAAATCATAGCCCAAATTCTCCCCAACTTCTCTTCGCTGTTGATTCCTCCTCCTCCTCCTCCATGTTTTTAAATTTCTAACAATCTACGTGCGTGGTAAATTTTCACTTAGAAAGAAATCTTTTTCATTAGGTTATGATAACTAGGTAAAAGTCTTGGTAGAAAAAACAGATATGGGTTGAACCAAAAACTAGCTTTCTTGGAGAGAGAAAAGACGAACGATTTATAGATTAAATTACACAAACAATAATTCCTTGGAGGGTTCATCCTTGAAAGCTAGTTATTTCGTTAATCAACTAACACAATTTATGAATGCACACACGCCATCGCGTATTATCGATGGGGGACGACTTATGTATGATCTTTTAACGTAACTTTGTAGAGGTTCTCTAAAGAGTAGGGAATCGATTTTTTGACGTCAAAATCATCTCGGGTCTGCTTTGGTACGTGCAATGGCATTGAGGAACCAAGATCTCCTGGTCCTCCCAAGAAACGCTAGTGAAGAACTCTTTGTCGCTATTGCTTTCTTCTACTCCATGTTGTTAAACTTCTAACAATTTATGTACACGGCAAGTTTAATATGTCCGATTTTACTTCACCGCGGTTGTCATGATTTCCGAGCACCGGATTGCTTAATATTCCGTCGGTTTGGCTTTTGCAGGTTATACGGTGCTTCAATGGTCATGGCGGATCGCCGGCTTGCTGCGGTTTGGATCACTCTAAGGTGCCAGAATAACTTCAGTAACGTGCATGCTGTTAACATGCGATGGTGGTAATGATGAAATGCACTCGCTAAAGCCCAGCAATCGCTGGCTAAGTTTACGCTCCATCTGTAGAAACCATTTTCAGGAAGCTGCTCCTTTATCCAACTGAACTCAAATCCCAAAACCTTCAACTTTTCTATCACCTTAGGGGCGTGCATAGTAACCATTCTATTTCTCTGTTTTTCTATTTTTCTGTTTCCGAAAACAGGTTTGAAATAGAAATCCGTTGGCAACGCAATTTCATTTTTCTATTTCTGGAACAAATTTCTATTCCCAAAATAGGTTTGAAACAGAAATCAGAAGCAAAAACTTTTTACGTTTCTATTTCCGGAACAGAAGTGAGAAATAAAAACTCTTCTCATCGTTTGTCCTCACTACTAGCCGGCCGCTCACCCGTTGCCCCACCATCGCCACTGGTTGCCTCCCATCGCCGCCTACCGTTCGTCGCTGTCCTTCGCTGCCGGCCACCTCCCGTCGTCCACAGTTTGCCTTCCTCCACCGCTTCTCACCGTAAGCCGCTGCTGCTCGCCAGCCGTCCCCCACCATTGATTACCGCCGCCCAACACCGGCCACCTCCCGCCGCCACTCGCCCATCTCCCGTCATCGTCCTCCACCGCTGGCCACCTTCCATCGCCGTCCTCCACCACCTATTGCAGCCAACCGCCGTCCTCCACTGCTGCCCAACACTGGCCGCCTCCCGTCACCACCCGCCTCCCGTCGTCGACCACCTCCCGTCACCACCCGCCTCCCGTCGTCGACCGCCTCCCGCCGCTGTCCGCCGGCCGCTCGAGAGGGAGAAACTTTGTGTCGTTATCAAACGAATTTCTATTTCAGAAACATAAATTTTGTATCGTTATCAAACGTGTATTTTGGTTCAGAAACTCGTCCATGGAATAGAAATAGACTGCCCAAAAATTGATTTTTGAAACATAATGGTTGTCATTCGCGTCTTAAGAATATCCAAATTTACATCCCCAGTCAAAATATAGGGGCTACGAAGAATTACCTTGGCCATAGTGTCTCGACGAAGCCTCAACTTCTCATAACCTCGAATCTTATCCATCAAGACCGCGCGGTCTTGACGAAATATTTCAGCCGCTTCCCTATAGATCTTTCCCAGCTTAGTGCGCTCGATCCCGCAGTTACACAAAACATGGTAGTTCTCCAGCAACAATTCACTATCGCTCAACAGCATAACGTCGCGCGCAAGGAATGGAGCATATTCAGAGGGCTTCAAACCCATACTCTCAAAAAAAGGCTCGAACTCATTAATAGGATGTCGACCCAAGAATCGCGAAACCGACCGAGCGACATCGCCATCGGTCCTCTTAACATGCTTCTCGAGAAAGAAGGGGGCAGTTCCTACTAATGTGGTCTGCGTCCAAGAACTGTCGGCCTCTAGTGGAATGTAAGTAATCCGATAATGCAGCCTGCGCCCGTTTACGAATGGCGACGGGTATTTTACTTGCAGGTTCCTCGATATAGGCAAGTTCTTCAGCTGGCACGGGCCGTTCAGTCCTGTAGAGTCTAGGGTTATGAGCGCCATGGACGAAACCAGTGGGACAAGATCGGATTTTTAAGGACGGCTGAGTGGTTTTCGAGAAAATTTGAAGACACCCATTTGAGAATGGACAATGGTCTGAGTTTCTGTACTTGTCTCATGAGTGACCATCCGAGTATTTTTATAAAAGTGCCATGCGGTGAAGAAGACGAGAACGAAACAAGCGTAAGTTTCAAGCTTTGAAGCTTCAGAAGAAGAAAATGAGTTCGCGCTAGCTCGGATGGATGATTCTCATTTGAAGCATCAGTCGACGGCTTTATTCGGCTCTTTCGGCCAACTCCATTTGAGGAGCAGTGGGAGCTGCGAAAATGCTGTTTCCACCCCGCGGGGAGGACGAAGAGCAAGAGCGTCGGAAGCCGTGGCCAACTTCGTGCCGGGCCCAGGCCCGGCCCACTACTGTACCGGGCCGGACCTATCCCGGCCCATTACTGGACCTGGTCGTCGCGCTCGTGCTAGTCCTATCACCTTGCCCGGGCTCGTGCTAGCATCGTGCCGGAGCCATTTTCTCAATCAAGTACCAATCTTGTTGAAATCCGATGCGAAATCGAGATTGAGATGGGGGAAAATCTTCCATACATCGACGGTGCATGAAACCAATGATACTGCTGCCTACCATCTCTGTGCATCACTGATGGAAACCCACTGGATCGTTCATATCTCCTCTACATCAACAGTAAAGGCCCAAGCTGGCATGCCTGACATGACATCATAAGACGAGTTTGCTGCTAATTCTTTTTCAAAGATCTATCGACCACGGCTAAAGGGACCCTTCTCAATCTATGAAGTGTAAGTTCAAGTTTCCAAGGATTACCTCCCTCAGTTGTTTTCGTTCTCTTTTCTTCTGGGACTATATGATGATATTCATGCCTTCTCTTTTTGCACATCCTTGGTCTAAGAGAGTCCTCTTCAGAACTTAATTAATGATAGTACATGCGTTTTTATCTTGTTAAAATCCTGGAGAAAGTAACTCTTGGGCTAGAATTTGTGTTTCTAAGGAAATTTTGAATTAAATTGCTGATTAGCCGTGATCAACAAAAAGAGGTTAGAAAAACCCTGATCAATCTCGTTCTTCAAGCCATATGCTTCTCTTGAAAACAGCACGAATCGAGACTAATAACACCAACAATGAATGGACAGCAGCTCAAGTGCAAGAAATCTTTAGAATCAACAGCGAGGTAGCAATCAGTTGCACAATGATCGACCAAGGTTTACTTGCCATATATTCATCACTCACATTTAGAACTAGAGATTTGTACTTTCTCCGGTGTGTTCGACCTTCTCTCATTTGCCGAGCAAGCTCAGTTTTGCCATGATGTTAAGGAGGACAAGACAGCCAAGATATCGAAAGACACTTGCGACAGCGAAAGTACTAGTCTAGAAAGAGACCTAAGAATCTCCAGATATATACCTGCTCCGAAATAAATTGCATTCGATAGAACGATCAAGGCAACCTAGATGTCACCACTAAATTAGAAATGATACAGAAATAAGCATTCAAAACTTTGAACTTCCAATTCAGAGAGAGAGAGAGAGAGAGAGAGAGAGAGGGGTCATGCTACACCATTTTTGAGCCGATTACTGCTTGGCACCGTAATAGGGATAGCCACCCATCCCCATAGGCGGTGTCGGAGGGACACCAAGCTGGTCTTTCTTCACAGCAAGTTGAGGGTAAGTCATTTGAGGCTGTGCCGCATATGGCATAGGTGCCGCAGGAGGGCTTGGGTAAGTGGCACCTAGGTAAGCTGGTGCAGCTTGAGGATAAGAATATCCAGTAGGATCCATGCTAGCATAAACCTTTCCAGTCTGAGGATATCCTGACTGAGGATATCCTGCTGCCATTGGTGCACCCATTGGAACCATTGTAGCAGGTAGCTGTGGCTGTGCCGTTTTGCGTCCATGTGATTCAGCATATTTGACAGTTATGCTCCGTCCCTGAAATGAAAAAGAAAGCCTCATCAAGTGAATCCATCTATCCCATAAAGAGTTGGTCAGATGATTCCATCCATCACAGAAAGCCCTAAATTAGGCATGGACAAGTAAGAAATGTAAGGCTTCATGTATGCGAGAACTTGAGCGTTGGGATAAATGATGCGTATAAAACAAATGCAAGAGGCCGATTAGTTCATCATTCGCCTACCCCAAGTAGCTTTTGTGGATCATCGATGGCTCTTTTGGCAGCCTCGGATGTCTTATAAGTAACAAATCCAAACCCACTGCAAACAAGAAAAATATAATGACCATCCACGGGAAAGTAACTGAGATAATCTCAATTAGTATCTGAAGATGAACAGAGACGCTCAACCGTGATTCAGTTGTATCTTTATCATATGCGACTGAACCTTCTTCAATATCACCATATCTTCCAAAAAAACTGAGCAGCATCTCACTAGTGACATCTGGTGACAACCCACCAATAAATAGCTTCCTCTTAGCTAAATCAGGCATACCACTTGACCCAGTCAGTCCCTCACCTGCCAGATTACAGACAGCCATCCTGCCCTAAATTTAAAAGTTTGTAAGAACAACAATTATTAACTACAAGAGTGAAGAGGAAGTGCTACGTGTTTCAACAAACAGCCTGGCTTCTATGTCTGAAATGGCTACCTAACAAGAGATGGCAACTAAATTCTCCTAATCAATTTTCAAAAGGAGGAAACCATCTTGTACACAATAAAGCTCGGAGTTATTGCTTCTGCAAATAATTATGATATAGCAAACTTAAAGACTTATCTGCCTCTAAGAAGCAAGATGATCTTCCACAGTAATTCTGCCTCAAATTTGATTTATGAAGCATTTATCTAAAATTTCTCGTAATAACAATGCTATGAGATCTCAATTAAACACTGCCTCCATTATCAATAGAAAATGCTTCAAAAAACCTGATTTTATAAATTAAGATTTACATTCTCCATCTTTTCTTCAATGAAATGATATAAATACTCACTAATTAAACATCATATATATACGGCAATCTCCAAAATTTATCATGCCATTCAACAGAGAGTTTTCGAACTCTAGTAAAGTGTGAGTGAGTGCATGTATCAGGGCGAAAAGCCGAAACAGTGAGAAAAGCGCGCAGATAGCGAGAGAGAGAGAGAGCACTATAGCATTAGCTGCAGAAAGTGAGAAATTGGCATATACATACATCAATCATTTTGCTAGGTGCCCTCAGTGCAATTCGAGTTGACTCCATATTTTTGTAAGTAATAAAACCATAACCGCGCGATTTCCCTGTTGTTTTGTCATAAATGACAGCACCTTCTTCTATTTCTCCATGAACTTGAAAGGCCTGGAACAAAAAAATGTCCTTAATTGCTTCAAGATAAAAAATCCACGCTCAGGACCTCTCCTGAAACTTCAATAATGAGGAGAAAACATCTAAAAGCAAATCGCATTTAAGGAATAAATATCTCTCCCTCGCAATTGTGACAGCTCGCGATGGGGAATTCGAACACAACGGCACATGGACACAATCGGCAAGCAGCAAGCAATGCACTCACAGCACACAAGGTTTCTGAAGTGGTATTCCAGGCCAAGCCACGGACAAAAAGCTTTCGGTGGACTGGATCTGCACTCGCGATACTTTTTATTTCTTCTGCAATCGAATGGTATTGGGATCCTCTTTATTCGTCAACATGCAAACAAACACACATGCACAGGGTCAATCACACGGCATACAGTTCACTAGCACAAACATTACATTATCAGGTAAAAGCATGTATGGAAACAAGACTGCCCTTGCACATAGGCAGACATAAGTGGAAAGAGCAAAGCTACTGGCCGAAGCATCCCTCATTCGCTATAATCCACGAAACTTTATACAAAAGCTTGAATCAAGGAGGGCCTGATCCCAATAAAAATAAAGCAGCATTGTCGAAATTGAGGAGTGCCACAACAGTATTTTCAGATAATCAGACTTCTATTAGTTTGAATAACGAATTCAGTAAAGTCAGAACCAGACTCGTCCGGACTCAAGAGTCCGAAGGAACAATGTTACCATCAAAAGGACAGCAATAAGCATTGATAAGTACAACAAATTAACGAAAAAAATATAGGTAGACCCTCTGAGAAACGAAATGCAAATATGGCTATAATATAACCTATCAATGAAAGCGGAGACAGAGCCTCCTGGTTCGGCCATAACTGAAGAAGCCACAAAGATTTGAGAAGGCATAGCAGCTGCAGCTGGTTCTTGACATTACTGGCACATAATGAAAAAACCAAAAAGAGAAGATTTTGTTGCCCCTCATAGACTCTTAAACTCGCGTTCCATCAAATCCATTTAAATCAGCCATGGTGAATTCCACTAGACAAAATAATCAAAAACTACGGCAAAACTTGCAAGGTTCTGAAACAGACTACGCAGATGAATTCAACAATACCCACAAACGAAATCCCAAAACGAGGAATACCCTTTAAGAATACCAGGTAAACTTCGCATAAATAAACCCCCCACCCCTCCCACTTCCACTCGCCTCGCTGATCAAGATTAATCACTGCTCAAAGCTTGTTCTTTTTCTTCTAATGACTGCTCAAGATTTGTCGACTGAAATTCATCAAAGATGCCCACCCACCGAACTAGACCACCCGTCGTCATCTAACGATGCTAATTAACGCCGATTGGCGAGATCCAAATGCTAAAGAATAAAGACAATATACGAGATCGCAAACGCAAGAAACGGAGCGACAAGAGAGCACGAACAGCTTAGCGAGGAGCTCGACGAGGTGGGGCTTCGCGAGGGGCTCGAGAAGCGAGCGGAGGTGCTCCTCGGAGTCGGAAGAATCGCCATTTCCGGCGATCTCGTCGAGCTTTCTCTTCTTCAAATCTTCCATTCTTTGCTGCGCTGAATCTGCCCTGTTCTTCTTCAAAGCGTCGTGGCTTCTGCTTCCTCCGGGTCTGCTAGGGTTTGTGGCTTTATTGATTGGACTCCTTGCGGGGGTTTCCACGTCACCCGTCAGATTTATTATCCTCGAAAAATCTTATTTTTTAACTCTTTTTTTTTTAAGTTAATAGCACAGAAAATCCTAAATTAATACGCTCGCTACAAATTTACCCTCACCATAAAAAAATTCTAAATTAAATTCGTTATGGGTGTACAATTTTTTTGGTATTAACCCTTTTGTTTATCGATCAAATCCCTGCATTTGATTTAAATTTTATTCTTTGAGATGATAAGTCTTGATTTTGGGATGTCTTGGTTCTGCATGAAAACTATTCTGGTTCTGTCCAGAATTGGTTTTTTATTCTCAGAATCAGTTTTGGACCAGAAACCCGTTTGGTAACGCAATTTCATTTTTCTATTTCCGGGACAAGTTTGCTTCCAAAACTGATTCTAAAACCAGAAATGAGAACAAAAAAAAAAGTTGGTTTTTCATTTCTGGAACAAAAGTGAGAACCATTTCTGAGGAATTCATTTTCTTCAACACACATATTCATATGGAAGTCACGATCTTTGAGGTGAGAAAAAAAATCAAAAAATCAAAAATTTCAAAACTTAACAGAATGGTTTAGAATCTGTGGCTACCCACTTTCAGTGAAATTTAATTTTTTTTAGGTACCGGAAAAAATAAATAAAATAAATAAAAATAAAAAATTTCAAAATTTCACAAAATGGCTTAGAAAACCTATGGCCACCCACTTTGAGCAAAATTTAATTTTTTTAGTTGCCAAAAAAAAATAAAAAATTCTAAAATTTAAAAACTTCACAGAATATCTTAGAATACCTGTGGCCACCCAATTCGAGCGAAATTTTATTTCTTTAGGTGTCGAAAAAAAAAAAAGCAAAAAATCAAAAATTTCAAAACTTCACAGAATGGCTTAGAATACTTGTGGCCATCCACTTTGAGTGAAATTTAAAATTTTTTAGGTGCCGAAAAAAATAAAAAAAAATAAAAAATTTCAAAACTTCACAGAATAGCTTAAAATACCTGTGGCCACCCACTTTGAGTGAAATTTAATTTTTTTTATATGCCAAAAAAAATAAAAATAAGCAAAAAATTAAAAATTTCAAAACTTTACAGAATGGCTTAAAATACCTGTGGCCACCCACTTTGAGCGAAATTTTATTTTTTTATGTGCCGAAAAAAATAAAAATAAAAAGAAAAAAAGAAAAAATTTCAAAACTTCACAAAATGTCTTAGAATACCTGTGGCCATCCACTTTAAGCGAAATTTAAATTTTTTTAGGTGCCGAAAAAAATAAAAAAATAAAAAATAAAAAACTTCACATAATTGCTTAGAATACCTATGGCCACCCACTTTGAGTGAAATTTAATTTTTTTTAGGTGTCGAAAAAAAATAAAAATAAGCAAAAAAGAAAAAGTTTCAAAACTTCACAGAATGGCTTAGAATACATGTGGCCATCCACTTTGAGTGAAATTTAATTTTCTTTAGGAACCAAAAAAAATAAAAAAATACCATTTGGGCTTCTAAAAAAAATTAAATTTTACTCAAAGTGGGTGGCTAGAGGTATTGTAAGTCATTTTGTGAAGTTTTGAAATTTTTGATTTTTTATGTTTTTTTTCACCTAAAAAATTTAAATTTCACTCAAAGTGGATGGCCCATGTATTCTAAGTCATTCCGTGAAGTTTTGAAATTTTTTATTTTTTGCTTTTTTTCACCTCCAAAAATTAAAATTTCACTCAAAGTGGGTGGCCACAGGTATTCTAAGTCATTCCAGAAAGTTTTGAAATTTTTGAGTTTTTGAATTTTTTTGGGCACCTTAAAAATTTAAATTTCACTCAAAGTGGTGGCCACATGTATTCTAAACTATTCGTGAAGTTTTGAAATTTTTGATTTTTTGATTTTTTTTGGGCACCTAAAAAAATTTAAATTTCACTAAAAGTGGGTGGCCACAGGTATTCTAAGCAATTCTGTAAAGTTTTGAAATTTTTGATTTCTTGATTTTTTTTGAAAAAATTCAAAAAATTTCTTATTTTCCCGAAATCTATTTTTTTTTTATTTTCTCGACATTTTGATGATTTTTTCTGGAATTTTTCAATTTTTTGGGATTTTCTGAATTTTTTTAAAGATTTTTATGAATTTTTCGGATTTTTTATTATTTTTATTCCATTTCTAAAAAAATGGATTTTTGTTCCTGGAAATAGAATTTTCTGTTGTTTATCAAACGGGTTTTTATTTCAGGAAATAAAAATTTTGTGCTGTTATCAAACGGGTTTCTGTTCTAGAAATAGAAATTTTTTGTCATTATCAAACGGGCTTTTTTCCTCAGAAACTCATCCAGGAACCAGAAATAGAAAAATCTATTTCTGGTTCAGGAACTCATTCCGAAACAGAATGGTTATCATTCGCTACCCTTATCTCTAACTCTTTTTTTTTTTACTTTTGCTCTGCCTATTTACAAAGCACAAGAGTCAAACCTTGCATCTATGATACAAGCCTTCTCACCCTCCAATCCCTTTACTAGCGGGGCCGCATTCCTATTAGCTCCACCTTTCGAGAAAATATTGCGTGAGTGAGATATTCCACATCAGCTATGCATAACACCACTGAACGAATGACATGTGGCAAGCGAGCCCCACAGATCAGATTTATTAAAAAATCTAATCTGAGCGAATGACCTTCTCTCTCCCATCGTCCGGTCAGAGGGGGCCCACCCGGTCAGACCTCCAATTTTCAAAATAAAGTTCTCTCGCGCCCGAACCTTTCTCTCTCCTCCTGGATAATAAGGCGCTCGCGCCACCCCAAAACACCTCTCTCTCTCTCTCTCTCTCTCTCTCTCTCTCTCTCTCTCTCTCTCTCTCTCTCTCTCTCTCTCTCTCTCTCTCTCAGAACTTGCGCTCCGTTCGACACCGCCTCCGACGCCGACGCCTCCGACTCCGACGCCGAGGCCGACGCCTCGACTCTACGCGCTCGCGCTCCCAACCTCTCTCTCCTCCCAGACGCGACGCCTCCGACGTCGACGCCTTCTGCACTCTGAGAACTCGCGCTCCCTCCGACGCGACGCCTTCGTCGCCGCCTCCGACGCCGACGACGAAGGCCCACCTTAGGGACGAGGTTGGGAGGTTGGGAGAGGGCATTTTTTCTTTTTGGTCTAAGGCGGCAGCTCGCAAGGTGAAGGTGGCTGCCGCAGCCGCCAAGCCCAAAGCAGCTGCGAAGCCGAAAGCTACGGCGGGTGTGAAGAGAAAGGCGGCCGAGAAGCCGAGGTTGACACCCGAGAAGAAAGCTGTGGAGAAGGTTGCCGCCGCGAAGCTGAGGAAGACGCCGGTGAAGAAGGCCAAGAAGTGAGTCGGTGATGTGTCCTTTACCAGGGTGAAGCAGAGGCCGAGGGGCGGGTGACCGCCCTCGACAAGAGCTTCGGGTTCTCAAGGTTCGCAAGCACGAGCTTGGGTACAAGGTTGAAAGAGGGCATTTTTTTTTTTTTGAAGGGAGAGCTAAATGTTAAAGTTTGTCATTCGGGCTGTGTAGCGTAAACAAAGTGTAGTGCAAGAGCCGGCCCTCAGTTGACTGAAAATGCTCATCGCTCATCAGGAAATAAAGGGAATCCAGTTCAATCTCTACTTGCTCAACTCAGTGGAACTTTTATTCCAATTTCTCTTTTGAAAAGAAAAATGACATTTCGTTTTTCAAAACATTGAGTAATATATACAAATAAAGACCCCATGATGATGGGCACAAGATAATAAACTACAGGCAACCATCGAGCATTTTCTTCAGTATCATGTTCTCGCTTGATATAATTTGTAACGAGAACCCAAATGAAAACAATGCAGAATCACCATTCAGTCAGCAGTTTCTCCGACCCATTTAGAGTTCTTGGGAAATCCCAGTGAGCCTCAGAAGGAGATGGAACTTTCAAAAAGCAATTCTGGCTCCAAAAAAGTTCAAAACGAATGCGCTGCGAAAAGTTTCTTATTTCCCACCCTTTTTTTCCTGTCAAATTAGATACGCAAGCGATAATTCCTACTTTTCTATGGTTGGAGAAACTGATGCAAAATAGAGAGTTTCGATACAGACAATTATCTATGGATCCAGTTTCGTCCGGTCCATGAGAGACCAATACACCATCTCACTCTTTCATTGGAATCTTTTATGTAAGATAAATTAATGCCTCTCTTCGTTTTACATTGCCATCGCCAAGAATAACATTATAGTTAGCGTGTGCGACGAGAAAGAAAAGAAACGGCCAGACCCAGAAGAAGAGACTGCCATTGGAGCACCACACAAGTCAGAGCTTTTCGATTCCCCATTATCAAACACAACCATTTAATAAAACCTCCCCTAGAAGCTTATATAGAATATGCGCTAACAAGAATAGAGTTAGCACAATTCAATAACGAAGAGAAAAAGAAAGAATAAGAAAGAAAAGGCTACGTCAAATGTTGCCAAACCATCTACACACAACCAAAGCCTCGTCTAAAATGCCGTCCCCTATGCTAGTAAAGGACACATCACCGACTCACTTCTTGGCCTTCTTCACCGGCGTCTTCCTCAGCTTCGCGGCGGCAACCTTCTCCACAGCTTTCTTCTCGGGTGTCAACCTCGGCTTCTCGGCCGCCTTTCTCTTCACACCCGCCGTAGCTTTCGGCTTCGCAGCTGCTTTGGGCTTGGCGGCTGCGGCAGCCACCTTCACCTTGCGAGCTGCCGCCTTAGACCAAAAAGAAAAAATGCCCTCTCCCAACCTCATCCCTAAGGTGGGCCTTCGTCGTCGGCGTCGGAGGCGGCGACGAAGGTGTCGGAGGCGGCGACGAAGGCGTCGCGTCGGAGGAAGCGCGAGTTCTCAGAGTGCAGAAGGGGTCGACGTCAGAGGCGTCGCATCTGGGAGGAGAGAGAGGTTGGGAGCGCGAGCGCGTAGAGTCAAGGCGTCGGCCTCGGCATCGGAGTCGGAGGCGTCGGCGTCGGAGGCGGTGTCGGACGGAGCGCAAGTTCTGAGAGTAGATCCGGGAGGAGAGAGAGAGAGAGAGAGAGAGAGAGAGAGAGAGAGAGAGAGAGAGAGAGAGAGAGAGAGAGAGAGAGGGGTGGCGCGAGCGCTTTATTATCCGGGAGGAGAGAGAAAGGTTCGGGCGCGAGAGAACTTTATTTTGAAAATTGGAGGTCTGACCGGGTGGGCCCCCTCTGACCGGAGGATGGGAGAGAGAAGGTCATTCGCTCAGATTAGATTTTTTAATAAATCTGATCTGTGGGGCCCGCTTGCCACATGTCATTCGTTCAGTGGTGTTATGCATAGCTGATGTGGAATATCTCACTCACGCAATATTTTCTCCCACCTTTCATGTTAGATAGTCATTCTTTAATTCACATGTTGCCACGCCAAGATTCAAAATGTCACTAAGCTTCATGATTGAATGATCTTTAGTAACTAAGGCTCCGTTCGTTTCGCGGAAAATATGATGTCAAGAAGTTATTTTCCAGGAAAATAATCGTATTTTCTGGTGTTCGGCTGAAACCTAAAAAATATCCGGAAAATATTTTTCACCTTTCGGTATGGAAAATCTGATTTGATTTGCTTCCTTGCACTCTTTTTAATAAATTTTTATTTTATTTATCTTTAAAAAAATTCAAATTTTAATTTTTAAATATTTTTAATAATTGTTTTTCTTTTCTTTTTACCCTGCCGGTCGTGGGCCACCGCGACGACCGGCGACAGGCCATAGGCTAGGCTCGGCCTTGCTCACCCGAGGCCGGCGACCTCGAGCAAGACTGAGCCTCGCCTCGCCGACCTCGCTCACCCGAGGTCGGCGAGCTTTGGCGTGGCCTAGCCTAGCCTCGCCTCGTCGGCATTGAGCGAGGCCTCGCTCTAGCTTGTCGGCCTCGAGCGAGGCCAGATCTGGCGAGGCCTCGCTCGAGGTCGGCAAGGAGAGGTCGGGCCTCACCCAAGGCCGAGCCTCACCTGTGGCCATCGACTGGCCTCAGAAGAAGGTCAAAAAAAAAAGAAAAAAAAAGAGAAAATTAAAAATAAAAAAGATACTTAAAAATTAGAATTTTTAAAAAAAAAATTAAAATGAATGGTGAAAGAATGAGAGGGGAAAATGTTTTCCTCTTTTCAAAAAGAGGAAAATATTTTCCACACTGTTGAAGGTGTTTTGTCCGTTGAGGTAAATTGTTTTCCATGATTAGTTATTTTCCGTAAAACGAACGCATGAAAACCCAGAAAATGTTTTCTCGAAAGTTATTTAACATGAAACGAACGGAGCCTAAAAGAATATTTGTACCCGATCGACCTCTCTAGTTTTCGAGATTAAAATTCTTTTACACAAGGATGATGCTTCTAGAGTCCCCTTAGGAATTGTTCCTCAAGAGTTGACAATTGTATTCTAAAAGATATATTCTAGTGTTTGTCTGTTGCGACAATTTGTATGAAAATTAGGACAAACTGTAGACCGTTACGATCACGTTACAATCAGAGACTGGTTTTAGAGGGACCACACTGGAAGACCCCTAGGGAGAAAGATAAAAAATTATATATCATCTATGAATGTGCAATGTGGAGCGGAGATCTATATCGTGATGTTCCTGTTACATTTTCGAGAAAATGTATTTTTCCTTCTGTGCCAGTACATTTCTAAAGGCATTGGTAAGTATAAAAAAAAAAAGGATTTTATGGCTTGTTTGTTTGCAATTGAGTAAAAAATTATTTTTTTTTAATTTTCCGCCATCAACTCCTTGAGTAACTGATGGAAGTAGTGTGATCCGCAATTGAGCAGTGAAAGAAAGATCAAATAATAAATATCCTATTCAAAGTCTTCGTTGCATATGGGTACCTTAAACGTAGGGGTAGAATTATTGATGTGAGATGGATCCAGATAAAAGAGGAATTTAAAAATATTATCTAAGTTCAAAATGTTACGGAAAAAAATGTATGTGAATGCTTTTTTTTTCCCTTTCAAATTTGGTCTTTTTCATGTTTGGGAGAGACGTGAGTGCTTTCCACGCTTCAGAATGGTTAACCCCCGTTAAAAAGGCAAACCCTATTTGCAGAAGTGAAACATTAATGAACAAATAAATCACAAAAACCTTTTAAATTAAGGGACGAAATTCGTAGAAATTACACATCGAATATTCCCGGGCCACTTTCATGTAAAAGATTGTGCTGTAACTCTAAACTTTCATTTAATTCTAGTCTTTAATTTTTTTTATAACGTATGTCAAGATCTCTTCACTGGTGTCACCATCCAAATTGACTAGAAAAATTAGTCAGCAAAGTTTTTCTCCCTCACCCCAGAGAATACTCTCGAGTTTAACATGCCAGAGTTTAGATTAAGTCTTTTAAGGTCATGTTCAGTACCTCAACAACCACCATAATTGCAGCCAATGAAAGTAGGAGAGAACAAAAGAAAATCAGTAACCTAAAGTCTGACATCTCAAGTCCACGTTAGTGAATCAAGGGATGATAAAAGAACGTGTGAAAAGAGAGAATAAAGAATCATGTTTAAAAGGGGGTGGAGAGCAAAATTACAATGACTCTTTTTCCATGACATGACAGACCTTTTAAGCATCGAGAAATTTCCTGTCAATTGTAGAGTACATGAAAGGGAAGAAGACAACCAATGCGTGGAAAAGAAACGCTAGTGAATAACTTCTTCTCTTCGCTCTTGATTTCTCCTCCTCCATGTTTTTTAAATTTCTAACAATCTACGTACGTGGTAAATTTTCAAATAAAAAGAAATCCTTTTCATTAGGTTGTTATAACTAGATAAAAGTCTTGGGAGAAAAAAAAAATATGGGTTGACTAAAAAACTAGCTTCCTTGGAGAGAAAGCCAAAGGATTTATAAATTAAATTATACAAACAATAATCCCTTGAAGAGCTCATCCTTGAAAGCTAGTTATTTCGTTAATCAACTTAAACGATTTATAAATGCACATGCACCATCACGTATTATCGATGTGGGACAAGTTTTATACATACATGATCTTTTAACATTGCTTTGTAGAGGCTCTTTAGAAAGAAGATACCAATTTTTTTTCATATGCACTTTCCCCCTAATAAATTATCATAATTAAATTTGTACACGCAATAATCCCTCGGAGAACTCATCCTTCAAAACTAGTTATCGAGTTTGTGGACTTAGAAATTTATCAACCACACACCATCATGTACGATTGATGTTGAACACTTTACGTATCATCTTTTAACAAAATTTTTCAGAGGCACTCTAGAGATGAGATATCGACTTTTCGGCATCGAAATCTTATCAAGTCAGCATTGGTACGTGCAATGGCACGAGTCAAGTAAACATAGTAATTAACATCATTTTTCAGAGGCACTCTAGAGACAAGATATCGGCTT